CTTTTCATGGTCATTTCTCTCTAGCTTCTACATCCTTCACAGTCGTTGTCAGAAATTAGCTCATTTTCAGATGACCATGAAGATGCTCTCTTCTAGGGCGCGTTTCTTCTCATTCCAAGGCCTTTTACCATGGATCATGCCGCCAACTGTACGAGATACTGTGAAGCAGTATCTCGAAACCGTGAAACCACTACTTAATGATGAGCAGTTCGTCATTATGAAGGATCAAGCAGAAGAGTTTCAAAGAACTGTCGCCAATGAAATCCAAAGAAAGCTTTGGATGAAATGGCTCATCTCAAGGAATTATGTATGTTTTCCTGCGCCCTTATTGGTTAAACTCGCAGATTCAACCAACTATTTGTAGCTTTCTGATTGGTGGAAAGAAGTGGTCTACATGCGTCACAGAAGCTCTCTAATTCACACCAATGTTGCGTGTGCTGATATAATTTTCCAAGTATGTGAAGTTGACGTCCAAAGATTGAAAGAGCTTACGAAAGCTCACATTTACAGCAGCCAACCACAAATCAAGCAGCTCGTGCAGCCTATGTCACACTCAATCGGCAGTACTTCTGTAGAGATATTTTCGTTAAAGATACTATGAAACCTGTAAGTTTACCATTTAAAAAATGGATTTCCGACTCCCTAACAAACTTTCCACTCATCAGATCGCTCTTGGAATTATACCCATGTGCGCTACCCAATATTCAGACTACCATCGTTCTCTTCGTGTGCCGAACGAGACTAGCGGTAAGCTAAACCTGTGACTTGCGTCCCGCAGGCCAAAATGACTACACTTGTAGATGTAATGATTCGAGTGCCGGAAGCTAGACATGTTGCTGTTTTTTCTAAAGGATGTTGGTACAAAATTAACATCTTCCATGGAAAAAGGATGCTGAGACCAGCCGAGCTTCAAAGGTAAGGAAGGAGAGAGGGAACATTATATTTGGTGACTTAAAAAAGAATATAACCCTTGTAGGTCTTTACAACTTATTCTGGACCGCAACGATACTCCACAGGATGGAGAAAAATATCTGTCAGCACTTACAGCTGGACCGCGCGACCTTTGGGCTAAGATTAGAAGAGAAAAATTTGCTGATGGTACGAAAGGGAGATTAAATGGATTTCCAAAGTTTGATGCTACGAAAGTTACCTTCTGTTTCAGGAGTAAACAAGGAATC